TAAAATAAAATAATATAATAAATTTAATACATATTTTTTGATATTCTAATTCTATTCAATGCAAAATGTAGGTGTTAATAAGAACTTAAAAATTTTAAAAATCAAAGTCATAACCTATTGGGTCAACCCGAACATGATGACATTAAGCCATGAACATATAGTTCTCAATCCAAACCTGAATTGACCCGAACCAAAGTAACCTGAACTCGAAGTGATCAGACCCGAACTCGACTAGATCGATCGATTTGCTAGCTCACTATTTCGTGCCAATGTAAATATGAGATGATAAGTTATTTTGATCCAAATGTTAGTGTGAAATTTTGGATCGCAATGACATTTTGTGTCAATATAAATTATCAAAATGTAAGTGTAAATCTTTAATATAAATTTTGGCATACAACTTTTGGTGTACACTTAGCATGGTTGAGGAAGGATTTAGAAAAATGATAAGGGTACACATTTTTCTGTGAACCTCAATTGTACACTACACAATATGAAGTGTAGATAAAAAGATTATAGAGTGAATAAAAAAGTCCCTCCGTCCCAGTTTTAAATACAATATTTCTTTTTCTCATCCCTCGATAATTTTTTTATGTGTATTTTCATTGATTATTTGATAAAATAAAATATATTCTTGTTACCTTATATTTTGTAGAATTTTTGACATAATTTTTTAATATATAATTTTTATTTTTATTGATGTAACAATTTGTAAATAAAATAATTTCAAAAAATACGAGGTTTTACATCGCAAATCCTAATTTGTAATCAAATTTGGGACAGAGGAAGTATATGGAAAGAGTTGATGATGTACAAATGAGATACTCCCTCTGTCCCTAAATGTTTACCACATTTCAAAGAAAGAGGCAAAATATTAAATTTTTCCAATTTATTTTATTTAAATATAAGTATAGAAATAAAAATAAAATTTACATATTTAAAAACTACATGAAAATTCTTCAAAATAAGAGTTGTCAATAATATTTCATTTTATCAAATAATAAATGAAAACGCATAAATAAACAAAAGTTTTTGTGATAGTTGAAAAAAGAAATGCGGCAAACATTTTGGGACGGAGGGAGTACAATATTTGAATTACCCTAGCATGGCTCAAAGATGTATAGGCTTCGTTTAGAAACATCATTTTAATGACTTCCTCCATCTCAATTTAAATTATCTGTTGTTGTTTAATTTACGAATTTTGACTGAAACTATTTTTTATTCAAATTATTAAAGATTGGTGTAGAATTAATTAAAAAATAAAGTTCATATATTTTAAAACTACTTTCAAAGCACTACAAAACAAGTGATAACAAGATGATTATAGTATCGAATGAATAGCAAAAATGGGTAAAAATCATGGTTAAAAATTGATCTTCTAAATAATAAATTTGCAACTTAATTAAATTGGGACGGAACGGATAACATTAATATTTTGAATATTAATGCAAAAAGGGTTGTTTTGATATTTATAATTTTGATATTAAAGTGATATTAACACCTACAGTACGTGTATCATTGATTAAATTGATGGCTTCTATCACCCTTTCGTCACGCTAACCCCACTATAGGTAGATAGCATGGATTTCATTTTTGTTTAATCATAGATAAAAAATATATCTTAGTTGACTAAAAAAGTTAAAATAAACAAATAGTGTAAGAAGGTGGAAGTAAGAGTTAGTTTTAAAATCTAAAACGATAAAACTACCTCATCCAAGATATCGCCGGTCCGAGGGCGAAACGACACGCCTTCCTGACGGCTCTGGTGTCACGGGGATCGCATCGTTGGACCACGTCCCGTCACACATAGTCTTATAATAATGGAGGTTTGACTACTGCCACGTAGGTAATGCGTAGTCACGCCTCATAACATATAGTCTTATGACGGGGTTTGACCAATTTTCCTTATTCAGGTTTCAGTCGGGTTTGTTTCAATCCACTAGTTCGGACCGACACACTGGTCGACAATTTTTTTATAACATATTTTTTAAAGTTACTTTTATGCTATAATTTGAAGTTTTCTATTATATTTAATGTGTTACACTAATTCTAGAATTAATTGTAGGACACGATTTTATTATGTGGCCTGAGTTATCATTTATCTAATTAATCGATCATTGACCTAATAAATACTCTGTGTATTTAATTGGTAATTATTCGATGAACGTAATTGCCCCTATGACCTAATTAGGGTTTCCCCTTGGGTGTATATATATATATATATATATATATATATATATATATATATATATATATATATATATATATATATAGGGGCCAGTTCCTGTGAGAATGCACCTTGTGGAGAGAAATGAGAATAAAATCTAGCCGTCGGATCTGATGCATCGTGCGGCTCAGATTGCATCCTGCGCTCAGATTTTGAGATAGTGCATTTTCGAAGGTTTATGGTGCATTTCAACGTGATGCATTTTCGAACCATTTTGGTGCATCTAATTTTGATGAAATCTTGACCCTTATATCTCACAATCTAAAGCACCAGATTCATTCACATTTCTCTCCTAAGATTGCATTCTCACTAGAACCAATATATATATATATATATATATATATATATATATATACACACACACACACACACACACATACATACACACACACACACACACATACATACATACATACATACATATATATATATATATATATATATATATATATATATATATAAATATATATATATATATAGGTCATTAGGCAGAGATCAGAACACACTAATCTTACGCCTCCTCTCTGCCTCTCTATTCTCGTGAGTCTCATCCTCACCTTAGCCATCATAACGATACACCCTAAACGGGAACTCGATCTGCGTGAGAATCATGGCCTCATCTCTAACTACGTTTACAAGATTATCAGGTACACATGATTTAATCCCTAATTTATATTTTATATTTAAGAATTGATCAACATTAATTTTATTTCAATGTTACTTATTTATTTTTCATCATACCTTATTTTTAGAATAGTCTTTTTTATGGGACGAAGGTTGCTATTTTTAGTAAGTTTTTTTTTAAATCTCAGGTAAAGATTAAAATGGTTACGTAACATTATTTATATATTATGTATGGAGTTTATAATGAAAGAAAAAAAGAAAGTCATGCAAGCATCCTTAGAGTGTCATATCCCTTTGTATGCTACTTTTGATTATGCTTAGGAAATTACCCAAAATTACCCAAAACAATCCCAACTTTACCCGGTCTTTCAAAAATAATCCCCCCTTTCACTGTGATGCATAATAATCCCAACTTTACTGAAACTTGCCAGTTTTGGGTCGCCGTTAAGTTTCTAACGGAGGGTTAACCGAAATGCCTGATTTAGGCAACAAAATGAAAGTTGGGATGATTTTTGATGAATTTTCATTTTTTTTAAATTTTTCATTTAAATTTTTTAAATTATTTTCTACCTCCATCATCATTTTTTTTTCCTTTTTTAAAGATTAGTCTTAGTTTAAAAAATAAAAATAATAGATATAAAAAATGAAAAAAATGAGAAATGTAACTAAAATGATACAAAAATAATAAAATAAATAAGGTAATCAATGGAAACTAACTTGAAATTGGTAAAAGTAAAATAAAAATATACGGGTGGGTTTTAATATTTTACGCATTATACAAAGTATTAACATATCACTTCTTATTTTTTGGAAAAAATTATCTACAATAATTCCAACTTTACCGGACGGCTTGTTTTTTTAAAAAATAAGTAGTACGTTAAGACTTCGTATAGTGTGTAAAATGTTAAAACCCACCACTCCGTATATATTTATTTTATTTCTTACCAGTTTCTGTTTAATTTCTATTGATTACATTATTTATTTGATTAATTTTGTATGGTTTTAGTTATTTTTCTCATTTTCATTATTTTTTATATCTATTTTTTTTCAAAGGTAAGAATAATCTTTAAAAAAGAAAAAGAAATGGAGGTTGTAAGTAATTCAAAAAATTTAAATAAAAATTTCAAAAAAAAGTAAAAAACAAAAATTCATCAAAAATAATTCCAACTTTCATTTTGTTGCCTAAAATGGGCATTTCCGTTAACCCTTCGTTAGAAATTTAACAGCGACCCAAAACTGGCAAATTTCAGTAAAGTTGAGATTATTATGCATCACAGTGAAAGGTGGGATTATTTTTGAAAGACCGGGTAAAGTTGAGATTATTTTGGGTAATTTTTCCTTATGTTTATAAATTTTAAAATCACGCCGTTATGATATTTGATACTTTAATTAAAATAAAAAATGACAAAAAACTATCTTTATTTAGTTTGTTACCTGTCCGGTCCTGACCCGGTCCTTAATTGCTCCAAGAAATACCCCTTATTGGTCTCGGTCACCGTCCAATCTCAGTTCAGTCTAGCCCGATCCGAGTTTCGATCGGTATACCTCTACATCCATCACTCTTAAAGTCACGTTGTGTTGGGACGTGACGACGCACAGTCGCCAGGCGGCGATCACGTGCCATAACACATGACATAAATCAAATTATATCTTTTATTTTGTGACGGGAGGTGTAAAAGTGAAGTGTTAAAAATAGTACTTCCTTCATCAGAATTTATAGTGTCTATTTCGGCGTACGATATTTGATTTAAGTCATTTTTAATTTAATTTATTTGAAGATTGCAGTGATATTAAAAAATAAATATTACATATTTAAAAAGTTACATAAAAAATTCTTCGAAACAAAAGGTGACATGTCTATGTTATCTTTTCAAAAAGTAGCAAGCATATTTAAATGGGAGAACTCTCTAGATAGGAGTAAAAAAAACTATGAAAATACTAAAATAGGAGTCTTAAGTCTTTTAAAACAAAAATAGAAGTCCATATTGTCATTGTTATATTGCCACACTTATTACACCGTCACACTACAAATTCCACATTGCCTTTAATTTGTCACTGTCGGCCACTAGAGTGTCGCCGTCGATCATCGGTGATTGGCTGATCACACTACCATATTATATATTCATCACTCCTGATGGGTGTATTCCCACCCAAGACTCGAACCAGGTCGGACACAACAGGAAAAATTCGGGAGACGCAGGTTAGGACCTGACCCGTGGGGGAGAAAACCACCGGAGTGGTTGGGTATCCATCGCACTACCGGTGAAGCCCCATGACCCAGTTTAGAGTAGTTTACCCGGATGGTAATTTTCACCATCAACTCTTCTATGACATTGCTTACTTGTACTTTCACATCCCAAACCCAAATGCAACTATACATATGTTTTAGTCTCCTATTCTGATGTTTTCTTAGTTTTTTACTCCTATCGAGGGATATTTCTTTATTTAAAAAGTGAATACAATTTAATCATAAAATTAACAAACACACAATTTAATGTAAGACGAAAGAAATATCCCTTAATTGTTTAATTGGTTTAGAGATGTGAAGATAAAGACATGAAATACTTGTACGTACTTTATCAGCGAGCGCAGCTGTGTGAAGTGAAGTGCGAAGAGGAAGAAGAAGAAGAAGACGATAATGTTTACTCTCGTCCGCGCTGTATCCAGCTGGCTGTCTACTCCAATTTCAACTTTTTTTTTAAAAAAAATTAATTTTCAAAATTAATCTTGAAAACTAAAAAAAAAAATAAAAATAAATAATACTCCGTAGTTAGAATGTTTGCAGGTCGAAGGATATGAAGAGTTTGAGAATTTCTGGGAAGGACTTATGGCTTCCAAAATCTCAGGGAAGGACTTTCCGGCAAATATAAATACTCCCCCCTCCCTCCCTCTCACAGTCTCACCCTAATCATCACCGCCTCCCATTCCACATTTTTATTTTATTTCTTCTCTTTCTTTAAATACAAAGAATTGTGGGGGCCAATTTGCAATTATCTTCTATCTCCTTTTTTTTCCCCTTCAGGATGACTCTCATCATTGATGACCAGATTTCCCAGTTCGGTAATTATTTTTTTTCCCCATCTGAATAATGATTTTTATTCATCGCTTATTATGACTGTTCATACGTTAGAATTTGATAGAGATTCGAATCAAAATTCAATGGATTTTTTTAGAGCAATTTAAAGGATTTTATATAAGCCTGTAGAAATACACAAAAATTCACTGGCTTTAAATAATGTTAAACTGTGGATTTTTTCGAAACGAATTTTGGGAAAGGAGAAATCTGTGTGGATCATCCCAATATTTTTTCATCCTTAATAAATTTCATCGAATTTTAATTAATTTTGAATAATAACATTAAATTTTCAAAGGATTATTTTTAAACCCACCGTTCGGTTTAAATCCATCATCATTTCGTTCGGAATAACATTTTCAATTAGCATTTTCATTTTGAATTAATTTTTTTTTTTTTAATTTTGTTCTTTTGGAAAACAGGAATTGAGGTTGAGGAAAAGAAGATCCATGGAAATGAAACGGAATTGGGCTTTGGCGCCGGTTTTTTGGTTCCACATACTAATTCTTTCGGCCACAATTTTCGGTCTTTTTTCCACCCTTTTACCGACTAAAAACTACATGGACATCTAGGGCTTGTTTAGAAATAACATTTAGAGATTTGCGTTAGCGTTTTCAAAATGATATCTACAAACAGTGTTAAGTGTTAGCATTTTTAAAGTAATCTGCACCGTTAAAATTTTATCCAAAACGCTAGCGCTAACCTCTAACGTTATTTTCAAACAGGTTCCTAATTTCGTTACAATCGAGACACCAGTTTTTGCCTTAAACTTATCCAATTTAAAATGAAGATCTTGCTAGAAATAATGACAATCACAAATCATTTTATACATACACTAATGATAACCATCTGTATTCATAGATATTTATCATCTATATATGTATAAATCATGTTATGTTGAAGCACCTCTGGGTTTTTACGATTGAAATATTTGCACTAAATATCACTAAAATTTAAGTCATTTCTCTAAATAGCATTTAAATTGTTTTATTTCTTAAATGGCACTTAATAATGTCTATAATGACTAGTGATGACAAACATTTACTTGAATAATGACTAATGGATAATGACTAAAAGTGCTACATTGGGAAAAAAATACATGTAGTGCTATTTAGAGAAAGTCATTATGTTTTAGTGCTATTTACGTAAATTCCTCTTTAAGATTTTTTGCTAAAATGAAACCAAACAAAATGAAAACAAAACAAACCAACAAGCGCAATGTATTAAAATATGCGGGAGTAAAAAAAAAAGGCCCATTTGAAAAGGATAATATATTTAAATTAACCCTTACTATATTGTGGCCTGGAGAGACTTATGGGTTTAGGGCCAAGGCCCAAATACAGTTATGAGTTCATGAAGTGGGTCGCATTTTCATTCTGGACTTCTGGGCATACCAAAGACAAATGCCCTTTTATTTTCCATTTCTAATTGTTTGGTTTGTAGATTTTTTTTAAAGAAGATGTTTTCCTCTTTTTTTTTCTTGGCAAAACGGAAGTAAAATTTTATGTTTTCCTTAATACCGGAGTATATTTTTTTCCTGATTTTTTTTTTCTTTTATTTTTTCTTGAACCTATCATAAAGTAACTGATTTTGCGTAAGGGTAAAAATTTCTCGGTTATTGTTAATTGACATGATTAGTGGGCTTGCTAAACAGGGATTATGAGGCCGACAGTGAAAGACAAGAAGGGGTGGAGAATTTCTACAGGATCAACCACGTCAACCAAACATATGATTTCGTAAGCAATTTATAGTATTTTAACCAATAATTAGATTTTAATTATGCTCCATTTTACTTTACCCAATTGTTACCGCGGTAATTAATTACAGGTGAAGAGGATGAGGGAAGAGTACTGGAGATTGAACAGGATGGAAATGAGCATTTGGGAGTGCTGCGAGCTCCTAAACGACGTCGTCGACGACAGTGATCCCGACCTGGACGAACCCCAAATTCAGCACTTGTTACAAACAGCTGAAGCCATTAGGAAAGATTACCCTAATGAAGATTGGCTCCACTTGACTGCACTCATCCATGGTACTACTACCATCCATTATCTATTATCCCCTCTTTTAATCATTCAATTTATTTAATAATTGGCCTAGAATTAAATCTCCGACCTAAATTGGCCAGACTTAGTTTTGTAAATAATTTGATGAAAACGGAAAAATGAAAGAATTGGCTTAAAACTAAGGGGCTGTTTGTTTCAGCCTCTTAATGGTTCAGATGTCTGAATGGTTCAGCACTTAATGGTTCAGACTGTTTGTTTCAGCCTCTTAATGGTTCAGATGTCTGAATGGTTAAGAGATTTGCCTCTGAATGGTTAAGTATTATACAGAGTCTGAATGGTTAAGACCTCTTATCTGAATTGATCAGACATTTGCCTCTGAGTAGTTAAGCAA